AGTTGTCAACACTATCGGAAAAGAGTTCCTATCGTCGGTTGGGGTACACGAATGCTTCTAAGAATGAGTAAGTGACATGTCTGACTCTGAACAGTCAGTAAACGAACTGAACAATGCATGATCTACAGACATCGACCTCTTATTCTTGATATCATAAACTGCATGCATGTACGTTTATGAGAGCGATTATTTATCTTGTACCTGACGAAAACTTAATGCCTGCATGGTTATGTATCTTGCTATACGTTTTTATTGGTTTGGTGTGTGTTCACTCAAAATCGTAATTCAAAGATAATGTTTGTGAGATGTAATTTCACTTCTCAATACCGAAGTTCGTCTATATATTTCACAAGTGTATACCACTGAGAAGCTCTGATTGTATATAATTCCTTTTTTTTGTGTGGACCATCGTTGTTAACAGCAATATTTGATGAAGCAGATGATGATAGTAGAAAGCAATATGAGCGTATTATTTATCTTGTATCTGACGAAAACTAAATGCCTGCATGGTTATATCTTGCCATTTTGTATTGGTTTGGTGGGTGTTCACTCAAAATCGTAATTCAAAAATTGTGTTTGTGAGATGTAGATTCACTTTAATAACGAATTTCGTCTATATATTTGTGACAAGTGTATACCACGGAGAAGCCCTAAAGGTATATTACTCCCATTTGGTTTGGGTGTGAACCATCGATGCTTACAGCAATATTTAATGAATAAGATGATGATAGTAGAAAGAAATATGAGCGTCATGTGGCAAATATTACATAAATGTCGGACTATGAGTTATCTATCTGTATGAAAAGATTTCCAATACAACCATATTGAGTAGGATTTTTACATGCTATACTCGAGTCGTACTAGTATACAGGCTTCTCATGTCGCCGTTTGACTCAGACACACATCTTTTACTTTAAGATGTATGAAAGATTCTATATATATATTAAATGTAACAATAATGAAACGCCTACAGGCAATAACTAAACGGGTATGAAGGGTATAGAGATTTATTCTTATTTACATAATCATTTAACAAACTAAATAAATTGAACAAAGAAACACAGTGACACTACGATATAACAAATGGGATACTTAATTATTTTTAACCATGCTATGCAGAAACTTAACACATCAAGTTAGCGCACGTGAATACCAATTCGGAATACGATGTGTGATTTTGTATAAAAATATCAAAGCGAGCAGTAACTTTGTGTAGCAAACATTTTTTTTACTATGCCTCTCTTTATCTCTTTTCCTTTACAATAACTATTACCCTTTTCGTCGATTATTCTCTATGTAGTATATCTCTAATCGGTTTTTTTTTCACTATGCCACTCTATCTCCGTTCCTTTACAGTGACTGTTTCCCCTGTCGTCCTAATCCGTATAAAGATAGGGACATTAGACATAGAAGGAGCTCTCTTATCGTCAATAAATAAATATTTGATACTGACTATAAGTGCTGCATTACTTTATACTGCATGTTTGCCAATCGTCAAAAGCTTGCATTTGCGTGAAGAATTTTTTTTTCAAAAGAAGGGTCCAGAATCATGACAAAACAGTATATGTATCCCACAAATTTTTTTAAAGATCATGTTTATAAAATTTGTATACTTATTAGCAGCAAAAATAGTGGATAATATTATTATCAGAACATCATTCATTAACAGGTGGAATTATAATTTCAAACACGCACAAGATAAATAACGTCGAACACAAATATATGTGGTTCAATAAATGTTACCTGTGCACGTCGGGTACCTCAATTAAGAAGCCATGCATGAACCTGTATAATATATTGTGTAATAGGAATTTTTAGTCGACAGGATGTCACTGGAATAACCAAGGAAGTGTATCTAATATACGTCCTTGGTATAACTAACTGAATGTGTCGCTCTGACACGACATCTATCAATAATTCTGACATACCTATTAGCAATTCGGGAGGAAGCCAATATATATATATATATATATATATATAATAAGATAACGCAAATAAAATTTATAAAAAGAAAAAAAAATATACATTTTTTTCCAAACATACCAGATAGGGTCACACATTTAACTGTAAAGTGTCTTTATAAGTGACTGTTCCGAATTGATCCCGTATCAATTTGATATAGTTAAAAGATTAGTTAAAAAACTTTTTTGATAAAAAAATGAGATGTCCAATATTTCGATATTTATATTTCTATAACCTGGGAATATTATACTATATCAACATATTTTGTCTTAGCTAAAACCTCTTCCTAACATTGCTCCCCGTCAATATCCGTTAAATATCATAATTTAAAAATGTTATTTATCGTATAACTTTATTAATTTAAAAAATTAACTTGACTAAATACGGAACTATTCTTTATATAAACCAATGCACTTTATATAAAAGAGGCATACTAATGAATCTTTTGTAAATCAGTGATTGTTACAAGAACACTGCATTTGTCTTTCTTTTAATTGAAACTTTTCTTCCTCATCAAATCTATATTTTATTGAATCAACGAGATCTTATCATATAAGGATTTGATAACTATAGCTATCAGAACTGCTAGGTTATTTTGTTATTAAAAAAAGTATAATTACCATCAAATCTCCCTCGAAACAAGATCGTTCAAAATGGTCTTCACACATCAACTTGTGCTTGCTATAGATCATAACTATTTTCTTTTTTTGTGGGTTTAGGAAAACTATTTAGACTTTTGTCATAACCTTGTCGGACAGAACAACCGTACGTTTGATAAGACATTTTCACAATGGGTGATCATCTACGGTAATCCCCGATTGATGATGGGAGTTTTTAACGCACGGTCGGTAAATCCCCGATTCATTTTGGTCTTTGTGGTTTATAGATATCACGTGACTTTTTAAATCGAACATGCCGACAAGATGGCGATGTGTCGAGAACTGATAGTGAATTTCAAAAATCGATTTTGATCTCTTTTCATAGAGAATAAAAGTTTTTTATTTATGAGCATGTGTTTTTTTATGCTTAAAGAACAAAATATCAATTTTTCATTTTTTTGCGGAGTTTCCCTTTAATGAGAGAGTGCCAATCAGCTAATATCTAAATATTATCAAGATAGGTAAATCCTGAGCTAATTCCGAATGATTATTTGACAATTTTTCATTGACTAGGCCTTCAGGCGTTAATGTAGCCATCGTAGAGCAGATTATTATAACGACTGAATTATTCGGGTTAAAAAATACCCCATTTTGCAAAAGACTTTCTTATATATTCAACCTCCCAATTTTCAAATAGTTTATGTGAGCCAAATGAAAATAAAATATTTGAACTTTTGAATTCAACACAAACAACAATCACATAGGATTAATGGATATCTGATAAATATTTCTGACTACAGAAAGATGAAAAAACACAAAGCAAGCATACAACAGAAATCTGAAAAGATATAAAGTTTAACTACAAAAGAAAATATAAATATAAGGAGATGATGTGATTTGATTGCCAATGAGACTACTATCCATTAAGACAAAAAGACAAAGATGTGAAAAATTTGTAAGTCCATTTATAGAAAACAAAATGTTTAACAAGAAGATACAGTGTATTCTCTAAAATAGAAAATCAGATACATCTATATTCACTGAATTTTCACATCTAAACAAAATATTTCAACAACTAATAATTTTTTATAGAATTTTAGGTTCATCATTCAGATATCTGGTCTTATTGAGATCATCTGTTAAATTGTTGCACATCTGATAATTTTTCATGGTTTTTTTTATTCAAATTTTTTAAATTGTGTAGCAAATCCCCTCCACAGCATTTAAGATCTCAGCAATGTTTAAATCTGACATAAAGTAGCCAAAGTAATTAATTTAAATGAAGGTATCTATACATTATCTATGGTTCTGAAAACAACAGGTAATTTCTGTGCTAGAATCTAATAAAAAAGCTTGAAATTGAAAATTATCACACAGAAAGATCAAAAGAAAAATTAAAGAAAATAGACACAAAATAAATAAACAAGTTCTTGTCAACATTATTAAATCACAAAAAGTATAGAAATAAAATAGCAATCTCTTCTTATCAGAAAGTCATAACAAACAAACAAACAAGCAAGTAATAATATAATGAAAATTCAACTTTTGAACCTAGGATTTCTCATTGCAACATAAAATGAGTATTCTTGTAAACAATCATTCAAAATGTGTTCTATTGTTCAGAAACCGGTTCAAACAAAAGTAATTGAGTTCCTAGTAAATTACATGTACTAATGTGGTTTTGCATGTGGCACAAAGTGTTATGTACAAATACGTTTGCATACTTTATTTTGTTTTTTATTTTAAAACCAGCAGTAACAAAAAATAATATTTTCCATATATTTAAAGTCAATAACAGTAAGATTGTGTTTAATTATTTGTTAAGGAAAATTGTGGAGGTTTTCTTATATAATTTTTTTCTCCAATACAAGATTTTTTTTTCATTTAAATATGAGGAAGAATATATGTAAGAGAGAAATTCTAATACTTATTCAATCCTATATTTTTGTTATAAATGTTCAAAATTAGTGATTAATGGTAATAACCTAACATTGTTTTCACCGAAACGAAGTTGTATCTTATGAAGTTCATACAAACAAAAATGTATAAACATATAAACCTTTTTTTTAGTTTTACTAAATATTATTCAACATTTATTACAATTACAAAAAAAACACACACACACACTATCAAACTTACAAATGATAAGACTGCCATGAAACAGTTTACAAAGGAAAGTTTTTTTGGATCCCTTAGACTAAATGTATCTTATTTCCTCTTCCATAGCAATGGCAATTGGTTTTGTTTTCATGTAAAACTTTGGAAAAAGAACCTATTATTGATCTACATACTGTGCTGAAACTCTCCCTCTTTTAAATAACAATAAATTTACATTTTCATATCAACATAAGGCCAAGAAAAAAATGTTTGTTTAGGGTTACCTTATCTAGCCTTATGTAAAGTCCTATTCTAACCAATCATATTACATTTTGGAATGTTGGTTAAGTGTCACTAACTTGGATTTTCAGACCTTTTCACCTAAATCTACACATTTTGTTTTCATTAAAATAATTTAACATAACTACACACTTAATTTTGAATGAATGTAACCAGAAACAAACATAGGGAACTATATCTCTGATGTAACCCTACAGAAATGTATTTTTTCAGAGTATCCTATGTATAGGAAAGACAAAGATAATTTAAACATCTCCAAAATAATTATCTGTTATTTGTTTTCTTTCTGGTTGATCTTTCCATTTGCTCTGTCCTATACACACGCCTTCGCCTCGCCACCAACGGTTTATATCTCTGTACGAAATAGGTTTATGATCTGGAACTGCATGCAACATAGAACATATCCTACACCAATAGAAAGTGTTTACTGTGCCAGCTGTACCTTTCCATTGAAAATATTCGTTATATAAATCGTCATTTTTGTCCAATTTATGAAGGTATTCAGCGAGATCTTTAGGTGAATCGAAATCTTCAATGTGAATGAAAGAATGTGGTGGTGCTGCTCGCTTGTAATCATTGGGATGTGCGCCCATTACTATTGGAACAACGTCATGTCTGGAAAATTGGAAAAAAAACCACATTATGAAATATCCCGTACAAGATAAATTCGTTATCAACTTATGGCTATATATTGTACAAAAAAAAACGTTATTGTTATAAATTGTAAGACATTATGAAATATCCCGTACACTGTACAAGATAAATTCGTTATCAACTTATGGTTATATATTGTACAAAAAAATTCGTTATGGTTATAAACTGTAAGACATTATGAAATATCCCGTACAAGATAAATTCGTTATCAACTTATGGCTATATATTGTAAAAAAAATCGTTATTGTTATAAATTGTAAGACATTATGAAATATCCCGTACACTGTACAAGATAAATTCGTTATCAACTTATGGTTATATATTGTACAAAAAAAATCGTTATGGTTATAAACTGTAAGACATTATGAAATATCCCGTACAAGATAAATTCGTTATCAACTTATGGCTATATATTGTAAAAAAAAATCGTTATGGTTATAAATTGTAAGACATTATGAAATATCTCGCACAATATAAATTCGTTATGGCTATAAATTGTAACACATTATGAAATATCTCGCACAAGACAAATTATGGCTATATATTGTAACTCATGAACACATACTGTCATCATTATATAGTGTTTGCATAAAAAGACCACTCTATAATTAACTTGTGGTAAAAACCAACACTTTTAGTGTAAAAAAAGTGTTAAAAAAACGGTGGAAAAAATCCACTGGACAAAATCATAGTAAACCTACACTTGTTTGAAATGAAGCTTAAGTACTTTTGTTAAAATCAATTTTTTAACTCGCCCTTCTCTCTTCCCTTTTTAACGCTTCCTGTGTTTTATGGGTGGTGTGGGTGTGTATATTTTTCATTGTTTTTTAGGGGATAAATTTTTTTCATAAATATATTCAATCATTTTGCTTACCGTCAATCGTTGTGTATCATAATCACCGTTCTTATGTTTATATAAAATAAGGAGATTTGCATGATTGATAATAAGACAACTATCCAACAGAGGAGTCTAAATGAAGCGGATTTAAGCAACTATAGGTCATTGTGCAGCCTTCAAAAATGATCAAAACCCATACTGTATAGTCAGCTATAAAAAGACCCATATTATAAAATATGAAACAATTCAACCGAATAAACGAAAAACAAAAAAACAGACAACATCCAACGACAAACCCTGAATTACAGGCTCCTGACTTGGGACAAGCACATATAGAATGTGGTGGGGTTGAATAAATTTGTGAGCACCCCCTAACCTGAGACAGTGTTGTAACAGCACAACATCAAAATAAATTGCTAAAACAGTTGGACATGACTTGACTAATCAGATCGGCACAATGCACAAAAACAACTACTATAAGGGAGCTGCCATTTGATTTTTATGGGGGGGGGGGGGGAATGAGTTCTGCCCCAATACGGCTTATTTTGAGTATTACAGAGGAGGTTGTACTTTAAAATAAAAATATCTATCTATATATCTATCTATCTATCTATAGGAAAAATGAAAAGCTCTTATTAGCACATCGTACAACTGGATTGTTATAATCAATAAAAAAAAAGGTGAACAAGGCTACATACCGACTTTTTGCTAAATATTAGAAAACAATTATTAATAACAAACAACACATATCTCAATTGCACTTATTAATGTCTATAAACTATTTGTGCAATAAATAACAAACAACACATATCTCAATTGCAAATCTATGTCTTCTCATATCGTTATATCTTTACATGTCTACTCATAACGTTATAGAAATACATATTTAAATTGCAAATGTATTTCAAATCATAACGTTATATGAATACATGTACATGTCTACTCATAAAGTTATATGAATACATGTCTTCTCATAACGTTATATGAATACATGTCTTCTCATAACGTTATATGAATACATGTCTTCTCATAACGTTATATGAATACATGTCTACTAAAAGTAATAGTTATACGAATACATAGATATAGGAAGATGTGGTATGAGTGCCAATGAGACATCTCTCCATCCAAATAACAATTTATAAAAGTAAACCATTATAGGTCAAGGTACGGCCTTCAACACGGAGCCTTGGCTACTCATATAAATATATGAATTCATGTCTTCACATAACGTTATATGAATACATGTCTACTCATAAAGTTCTATGAATTTTAAATGTCTTCTCATAACGTTATAGGAATACATGTCTAACTTGGCTTGCAAATATATGTTATCCCACAACGACATAGAAATACATGTCTAACTTGCAAGCGTATTGTCAACTCATAACGTTATATGAATACATATCTGCATGAATTCCAAGTTTATTGTCAACTCATAACTTTATGGAAGTAAAGGTTTTAAAAAATCTAGAAACAATACGAGTCCATAGCTACATTGCATTAGTCAACAACTCATAACACCTGTTCAACAACTAATTGTGCTTCTGCAAGTTGAAAGCATAATGCAAGTTGAAAATATAATGTGTTTATCATACAAATTTGATTTATCAGAGAAATATGTCCACAATAAAACTTTTCTCCGACTTATGAATTTGAATATCGCTTGTAACACATTGTCAGAACACAATACAGTGTTAACAGTGCAGATGTACTTCCTTTCTATCATTTATTACGCCCTCCATCAGATGCGCTAGGAAAGTGTATATATATATATATATATATATGTATATAATATTAGCACCGATTAGTTGAACGATGGCTTGCTGTGTAAACGTGTTATGGGTTCTACCGCCTTAGCGATAGAGGGAATATTTCAATACAAAAAGCATGCTTCACGGTTACAATAGACTGACAGAAACAATACCAACAATACCAGTGCTAATATATATATACCATTTTTTTTGGGAGGGGGGAGGAAGGGGGGGGGGGGGTATTATACTCATTGTGTGACTAGCGATTGCATAAAGATAATATACTTACGATAAACCGTTGACAAAAAACTTTTCAGTGATGTAATCACGACAGTTAGAGTTTTCAAATGATAAATAAAACTTATAATCTTTGTCTAACATATTAAAACAATGTTCAGTATTATGACGAGGACATTTATTAGGACCACATGCTCCATAAATATCGACTTGTATATATTTCCCTAGCTCGTCTGCATACTGTCTGCGTCCATTACGAGCCCCGCAGTTTGAAACAAACCAAGCCACTTTTTTTGTTTTTCCAACTGCATAGTTTTTATCTTGCTTTTTCGTTATCACATCCGGATCGTGTGGAACCATTTTTTCATAAGGTGCAACTATTATAGAATCATGTCTATAACTTGCTGTCCAGTTATATACGTTATTAAAGTCTGAAAGACCAGGGGTATGATAAGGTGATTCTAACAAAAATAATATCCATATCTGATCAATTGGTCGTTTAGTCCATGGTTTGCTTGGAGAATGATGAAACATGACAGCATCTGCAGTTTCTGCAGAACGACGGTCATCCGTCACTGTACATTGTTGGACGGGACACTGTTGGTCTTCAAATGTTTTCTGACCTTTTTTCAAAGCCCAACTACCAAAACCATTATATAATAATATAGTCTTTAACGGCACTTGTACTTTTTTTTTCTCTGCTTCGATAATGTACGTAGGTTTAAAACGCATTTGAGCCACAATTCGATCATCGTCGTAGTAATCGTCACTGAACCACACGCGACCTTCAACACCATCATACGAAACTTTCTTTCCGAAAGGATTTTTTACTTTGTCTTCAAGGACAAATGATTCTTCTCTTTTTAATCCAGATTCAAGCCCCAGTTTAGATGCATTAGCGAATTCGTTTTCGGAATCCGGGTTTTTCTTGTCAACAATCACATGGTCATGCACTATTTTCCCGGAATATCTCGGCTTCTTTGGTATGCGTTTTGTAATACTTGGTCCCCATGGTGCTTCATTACTTTCAAACATCAAAGTATTATTACCATAAAAATTGATAACTACAAACAGAACCAAAGCTGCCAAAACGTTAGTCACTAGTTTCCTTAAATGAAATCTCATTTTCCATAAATGCTAAACTTAAATCATTATTTCATATAATCTGAAAAATATAAATGAATTGTCTTGTTAGCATTATGTAGTATGCGTTACCTATTAAGGGATCGATCATATTAAAATTGCAATTTGATAAGTTCAGACAAGATAAGATATTTTATTAGTATAAAATCCAAACAATCGTTTCATTTTGTGATGAAACAAGTTAACTTTTGTTGGAAAGAAATATTTATATTTTGTAAAGGCAGGAAAATGTTGGGTTTTTTTTTTCAGAAAGTTTTCATTCAAGTCAGGGTAAGTTCCAGTAAGTTTTCGAACTGTTAAAAAATGCACAACTTTCTGCGTCTATCATCGATTTCCGAGAGAATGATATCAACTTAGTATTCCTCCTCTATTTGGTGATACTTTTATCATTGTGCCGTCTTTGATCGGCCGTTTATATGACTGAGGCAGCTGATGAGAACCCGAAGGCTATTGGTGCATGTTTGTTTTAATTATATACTTTTCGGACAAAATTTCGTATGTTTATTTTTTGTTTTACGAAAAATTCCAATACCTGCAAGTAGTTTTCTGCCATACTGTTGAAGCTTTTTTAGCACGATAGTGGAATACAAGTGTTGAACATGTTTAATTCATTGTCAAGAATCAGTCCGGTCAATATTGCGCATGCGTGAATTCAGATACTCTACATGGATAAAATCGTTATATAGAAGTTATATGGTAAATAACCTTTACAAGACGATATTTAATTTTCTTCTCAATGGTTTTCGTAGCTGCTGCGATCCCCATAATCCTTAATGTGTCTTCTTTTTGATGATATAAATTATTTTAAAATAAAGTTTGAACTTCTTGTAACAAATTTGTATTTTTTACAGTGATGTCAAATGGCTTACTTTTGCCGTTATTCTTACAAGAAAATGTCATTATTCGGAAGAGTGGTCAGCTTTGAAAAAATAAATAAAACACTTTTACTTATGATATACCTTAGCTGCTGCAACCAAGAAAAAGACGAAAAGTTAAAAGCTTAACGCGGTGTAGTTTATTTTCAAATTGTTTATTTTCTTCTTGCTCCAAATTTGATTTAAAAGTAGGCGATTTTTATTTTTTTTTTTCTATCAATTTCTATTTGACAACAGGATACATCGTGTGTGTAAACAGATAAAAAGTTATTATACAATCGTGTTTATAAAGTCATGCTGAGACAGAGTCATCATCAGTGTTATATAGTGTAAACGACATTTTGTATAAACTTGATTTAGGATTGAAGGAATAGCAAAACACTATATAATTATAATTAACTTTTTTTTTTATAGTTAAAGACAAGGATTTGTATATCTCACTATTCAAATCCTTGTTGAAGATGATTAGATTTGAAGTTATTTTTTGTTTCTGTTTTCACGTGGTCATAACCGAAAATTAATAAATATATCATTAAAATGCAATCAAAATCTTAAATTGATAAAACATCTAGATGAACAAGCATTTATTTAAGATAATACGTTTTACAATCATATTTTTTTTCGGTGGCATTTAATGGTTTCTATTCACATTTAATTAAAAAAAAAAAAAGAAGAAGATGTTGTATGATTGTCAATCAGACAACTGGCTCGTTTTCTTGACAATCCCTAGATAATTTTTTTTTGAGGCAATTTTAACACGATTTGAATACACAATCATATAGAACAATTCAATTTCGTCGCACTTTAAAGAGTGCATACAAAACAACATTTAGAATACTCCTTGATACGGCAAGAGGAAATCTAATAATATATTTTACATCAAACCGAGTTTCTGTTAATAATAATATGTGCGCACAATAAATTGGAAAGTTTGCACCTTTCAAGACCCGTTAAATAGTTTCGAAAGACATTCATTACTTTAATTATACATTCGCCGTCAAAAAGAATTTTGTTGATGACAAAATAATCAAAACGAAAACTGTATAAAATGAAAAAAAAACAAACAAACAAAACCTACTTTTTATTAAATACACCAGTTTCACATTTAACTGCGCATTTTTAACCTAATTAGCCAAACTGTGAAATCACGCGATAATTCCCGAGAATTCATCGACTGGGGACTTACAGTTGATGTAAGCAGTGACCATGCAGACCTGGAAAAACAATCACCTGATTAAGTGTTTGCGTTTATATGTACACGAGCATCATTTGAATCAAAATATAAATTGACGAGAAAACTTTATTAACAATGACACATTAAAAGATTTTTAAAAGGACTACTGTTGTGTTGTAGGTTTTAGTAATAGACGATCTAATATGCCGCCTGACTTTGTACCTTTAATTGTCACGAAGAAATGCTTGGATTCTCGCTAAGTTCATTCACTTAGCGAGAAGAATAAATTAGAAAAATAAGCGGGGGTCACTTCATATCCATATATTAGGTCACTGATAAATTAAGAAGTCAATAAACACCTTAGCCATGTGGAATCCTAGTGGTACCTTATATAACCTCACCAGGTGACAATTGATAAAAATGTACCCTTTTCTACACACAATTGCTGAAAAGGAGACGACCATTTGATATTCTTACGGAAGCCAGAAGGATTTTTTCGGATTAAATATTCATCGTCATCTGTTGCTACCTGGGAATATTATACTGTCAATCACGATTTAATATCCCAGTTGCTACGCATTTTTTTTTTCTTTTTGCTGCGCGAAAATCAAATGGTCATCTCCTAATACAGATGTTAAAAATGTAAACCCTGTTTCTTTATAAGATACATGTACCTAATTTACACTGAGATATTACAGTTAATGCAACTAGATATATTTTAATGATTTAGGAGGGGGTCATTCAGCAATTTGATCTTATTTTATGGTAAAGCAGGATATTCAATTACTGATAATGATATCTTATTGTAAATTCATTCATTATTAATCAGAATAAGTAAACAGATAATTTTTACATGACAAGGATTTTACTAGTACTACGTCAGAAGGATATGTCCACATTTTCTAATTATAAAACCAAATACATGTTCTTAAGAATATATAATTGCATTATTTGTTCTTAGAGACACTCAAAATGTTAGAGCGTTGAAATACAATATGTTTTGAAGAAGTAAATGTATACAAGAACGCATGCTGATTAATCAAAATAAGTAATGACAGCTGTATAAAAAAAAATAATATTGAAGAAAGCTACATCATTTGTTACAAAAATCTTATGCGCATGTCTTTCTACACGTTTAAAATCCCTGTACATGTACAATACATAATAGCTACGTTCGCCGTGACAAACAAACTGTGAACTGGTATCATCTGTTTACCTGCCTCCAGCCCACACCAAGAGAGAGAGAGATGTGTATTATCGGTATTTATTATTGTGTTGTCAAATATAAGGGTAAATTGGATAGCCCCCTGTCACGTATGATATCGTTAATTATCGCGGGATTTCAACTAAAACGCGCATATGATTTCGAGATCAGGGTTGATGAGTCGCTTAGTGAAACTTGAAACTGGTCTTTTATTCCCCTAATTTTATAGCCAGTCTAAACCAAGCCTCCTGTTTTACATTACGGGGGATGGCGTTCTATAAAAAAATATCTGTTTCATCCCAATTTGGCGAAAACAATATTACCGAAAGCGGGCATTCTCGATTATGATATTTAATGTTGTTAACTTATCCTCGCCTGAAACAAGAAACTACTGTTCGGAGCTATAGAAAGCCTATGACTTTTATGGGTGTATGTTTAATTTCAAGTACATTGGTCAAATACGGACGCACAGATGGCGGCAATTGGAGAAGGTTAGTCGAGTCAGAGGCGATCTTTTTCGAAAATATTATGGTGTGTGTTATATCATTCAAAGATCGTCTGTATAATGCCGTACAAAAGTGTTCCAATGCTGAAATAAGTGAAACTTGAACATTTGGTGGTCAATTACTACATTTAATTATAATGAATAATATCGTAACTATTAAATGTACTCACAACATGTAAACATGTATAATGGCGGACCAAGCTAATATTAGTATATCAGATTCTGAGAAAGTCACACCAGAACCAAAACGATTCTGCAAATATACATCTGACTCTGAATCCGATGATCATTATTTACAAAATAACATTGTCATGGAAGAAGTTTTATCTCATCATGATGGGCCACAGTCCGTCACTGACTCAGTAGTACAAAGTAGCACATCACCGAGTACTTCACATAGACTGCCATCCCAAACTCATATAATTTTCACAACAACTGAAGGCCAGTCAGTCAATTTATCAGAAGTTATTAAACATACTATAGCTAGTCCAGATTTTGTTGATTGTATCGGTCCATTAATAGCTAATGTTGTTAAAGCTAGTGTAGACAGTGCTTTGTCCAATTATGTTTCCAATCTCGAAGCCAAAATAGAGAAACAAGAGCAAATAATTTCAGATTTAATGGTTAAAAATTCAGAACTTTAAGAAAACAATAAGCAAATGAATGGTAGTGTCGAATCAATTGAAATTGATCTAGAGGAACTACAGCAATATGGGAGGCGAAATTCTCTGCGTTTCCATAATGTTCCCTTGAAGAAAACCGAGCTTGGTTCAACAGATGATAAGATAGTTGGTTTATGCAAATGTCTTCTTGATGTAAATATAACAGTTGATGATATTGACAGGTCACACATAATAGGGTCTATAAACAAATATGGCAATGCCTAGTTACTCTGTCGATTTAGGAATTTGAAGAATAAGAACACTATATTTCAACAGAAGAGAAAGCTTAACAATAATCCGGATAAAACAGTTATTACTAAAGTCTGACCCAATATCGACAGTGCTTGATGAAAAAATTAAATGATGCCAGGAAAAGACACGAAATTGACTCGTTCTGGACGATGGATGGACGTATATTTGCCAAAAAGACACCCGAATCTAGCAAAAGGTTCATTGCAGGAATGGAGGACTT